CTTGTTGAGATGGTGGATTTCAACATTGCGTACATATTAGTGAAGTTGGTCACATGAATGCCATTCTCATATTTCTCCACAGTTTCCTTTTTAATTGTGATTGCTTTCTTTACCTTCTCTTCTTTCCTTAGTTTCTTTTCTAGCTTTTTTGGGAACACTTAATAGCAGTAATCATAGTGATTATAGAAAGCACTGACCAAAATCACATACACATGCACATCTGCAAACATCACAAACATCACAAACATGCACAACTGGGCTCAGATTGATGCTTATGTATGCTTATATATGCTTTTCTGGCATCATGAATCTTTCTTTACCACCATACAAATGTCTGGCATTTGGGTCACAGCTCAAGACTTTAGGCATAAGTTAAAACTAAAATTTTGGTTGTAACCCAAGTTATTCATGTATGAGGCCAGTCTTTCTTGACTGCCCACTGTACCTGTCTTAGTGAACAGGACACATGGCTCTCCCCTGTGGAGGGATGAGTCATCAGGATGGACAGTCTCCAGAATTAGATGAGTGGAGGGGAAGAGGAGCAACCCCTCAAGGAAGCTATAGGAGACCAAAGAGGTATGGGCAGACAGAGGCAGCAGATGGTCCCTCCACTCACTGCTCTCTTGTATTCCTCGTATTCTCCTTAGGAAACTACCTCCTAGTTTCTTTTACTCTTTAATCATTCTCAGCAGAGAAAGACCGTTTGACATATTTTGCTGGGTGTTTAGAAGAGCATAGCCATATTTCCCATGTTTTTCATTCTCACTATGGCTTTGTGTTTGGTTTCTTCTGACATTAGGCATTTGATGGCAGCTGCCTTGCTTGGTGAATTTGCTTACATAGCTTCCTAGTGGCAAGCTTAAAGGTGAGGGTGATAAATGGCAGGAGGGGAAGGCAGCCACCTGCAGAAGGAGAAGTGCTGGAAAAGCTCACTAATGGGTTAGAGGGACAGGATAGCATGGCAGTGATGAGAATGTGGAGGGGCAGGTGCTGGCAGCACAGGCAGGGAAGGCAGTGAGTGCATAGAGGAATGGTCACTTCTAAGCTTTTTAACTTAATAAGAAAAGTACAAGTTGGACTTTTTGGAATTTTGAGGCCTTGAGGGAGAATCTAATCATAGTAAATTTAGGGGTGACAAGAATGATGTTTCTATGTATGGCAGTCTCCAGTGCCAGAGGCACATGTCTGGAATATCATTTCCTAGACCTGGATCCAGCACCCTCTGGCTGGCTATCTCCTTACACAAACATCTGGTCTAGCTTTGGTACAGCCATCACACTGCCTGGCTCAAGACCACTACCTGTTAGAGTGAGGCATACCATGCAGGTATGAACTCAGGAAACTCATACCAGATTTATAGTGTGGGTATATGCATCTCCAGGTTTTAAATGAGGAACTACAGTGCCAGAAGTCAAGTAAATCCAACAGAATAATCATCAGGAGAGCTGGGTCTTAAACTCAGGTTTGGTTGACTGGAGAGCTGGCACTCTGTGCCATCCATCCACCCAGCAAATACAGTGGAGCATCTACTGGGGCTCTTCTCCAGTGTGCCAGTCAGTTTTCTGTTGCTCTGATGAAGTAACTGAGAAGGCAGTTCCTTTGGAGGAAAGGTGTTTTTGGCTCACAGTTTCAGAGGCTCCAGGCTGTGGTTGGCTGGCTCCATCGCTTTTAGATGAGGCAGAAATGTAGTCAAAGGGTGTGGCAGAGGAAAGTTGCTCATCTCATGGTGGCCAGAGACAGCCAGAGAAGAAGGGACTATAGTTTCCAAGGTCACACCCCCTTACCCATCCACTTCAATCAGGACACCAGAGTGTTTCTATTACCTCCCAAGAAAGCCATCAAATTATGACTTCATCAGTGGATTAGTCCACTGATAAAGTTAAAAGTCCTCATAATCCAGTTACTTTCCAAATCTTCATTTCTGAATATTTGAGCCTTTTGGGGTACACTTTAGATCCAAACCATAACCCTGAGCTTGACCCCTCACCATAAGAGTGGACATCCAGTCAGGAACTGACAGACAATGTTATTTCCTAGACACTTGGAAACATTCATTTTATATGGTAGGTAATAAGGTTTGTGCCTTGGAAAGTCTTGAGAAATTTTAACTTCAGGATTATACTGATCATGATTCTTTAAATTCACTCCTAAACTGGATGAAATGAAAAAAATAGTTCACTATAGGCTCATGAAATTGGGAAATGTGAAGGTGGACTTGAAATCTCAGATACATCTGAATCTCCTGGCAAAGAGTGCCTGTCCTTGATATCCTCTCTCCCTTTCTTCTTTCTAGGGACAGAGCCACTCACCTGTTGATTTTTGGCCACCTAGCCAGCTTTCCTTTCAGCTAGGTGTTGCTGTGAACCAGGTATTGGCCAACAGGATATGAACAAATGACAATTTCTGTTTCAAGAACTAAAAGGTGCTTGCCTTCCACATTTCCCAAGGACTGTAATGTAGAAGTGGACTGTGGAGTGCTTTTGGCCATGTGGAGGAGGATAACTGGAGCAACAAGCTCTGACCTAGAGATGGAAGGCTCTTTCCTTCTGAGGACAGCAGCGCTGTCAGCCATCTTGGGTTCCTGGATGGCTGTATGGACTACCTGATAGGTCACCTTTGACTATTGCCTGAACAGGAACAAAGTATTCTGTTTGTAACACTGCATTTTGGGACTCCTTTGTTAAAGCAGCTTACCTACTGCATGATACTACAATACTCTAAAATAGTTGATTTCTCTCTGAGTTTTTAACTTGTGCAGATAGTCTCCTCCCCACGGCCAGGAAAATAACTGCAGTCAGCCTCAGGCCCCATCTTCTTCATTTAGCCACCCAAATAAAAAGAACAAGCTTGTCTCACCCAGCACCATCTCTCAGGAAGAGGCTCAGCTTCCCCTGCCTGGTCCAATATGGCATCACTAGGGGCCCGCAGCTGGGGCTGATTGGCCATGATTAGGTCACGTGCTGGAGCAGGTCCTGCCAATGGTACCACTGGAATGTCATGAACAGGGAGGGTGGCTCCTATAGAAAAGGGGTTGTTTCTACAAGAAGTGGGGAAGGGACACACATGAGGTAATATTGGTAGATTTTCATGACAGTCATTAAGAATCTGCATGACTTGGCTTGTACCAAACCTCCTGTCTGTTTTCTCACATGTAAAATGGGGTTACCTATCTTAGAGAGGCTGTAAAACTCAAATGAGAAAATGTTTTTTATATATATAATTCCACCAAAAAATGTACTCACACTTTAGCAGTTTGCTGTACTAATAAATGATGCTGGGAGCTCATGGCCACCACTGTGAGCACCTCTTGTAATTGTAGAGGCCAAAGGTAACTTGTATTCATCTCATGATATCTCAATAAATGTAGTATTGAAATATTTATACAAGTTTCTCTTTTCCTGATGTATACATCCTTTGGTTCTTTCTCTCCCTCTCCCTCCTTCCCTTCCTCTCTCTTTCTCTCTGGTGCCCAATTAAAATATGACAGGTATCATTTTATTTTTGAATAACTAGCTATATTTAATTTTTTGTTGGTAAGGAGAACTGGGGTGATTTTAGAGATGATATACAGTTATGGAGATTTTATAGACCTGGTCTCAGTTTGGAGCAGTTGTAAAGCTGACTCAATGACTCCTAAAGTTGTATTGATAAGAAATGAGTGTGGTGTCAGGGGAGCCCACCGGAAGAAGCAAGAACTTCTGAGGAGGAAGATGGAGAGTGTCTTCCAGGGGAGGCCAGGCTCTTAGGATTTCTGATTTTTCCTGTTCTGAGAATTGTGGGGAAGGCAATAGGGTCTTTTCCCTTGTCTGAAGAGTTGATAAACTAGATCTGAATCTGCAAGTCCCTGTAAAAATGAGACCTTCCTACCTGAGTTCCCAACGTGGGATCCATGGACCAGTAGCTTCCCTTGGGACCTTGTTGGCAGCCACATTCTTGCACCCCACACAGACCTGCTGATTCTGTGCCTGCTCAATTTTGAGAACTATGGGTCTAGATGAGTATCATGTGTGAATACAAGAGACTGCAAACCTCTGAGCAATGCCAGTGGCCCAGCAGCCCAGGGAAGGACACTGATGCACCTCAAGTCACCCCAGAGTGGACCTGGCACGGAGGTCTTCTCATTCCCACTCCATGCTCTCTGCAGAATTTTTAAGAATTTGTGACTACTCTGGAGAAGGGAGGGTCTAGAACTTCCTTCTTTGTGCCACAGACTCAATTGAAGAGTCCTATGTCAACAATAGCCTATTTCTAAAGCCCCACATGAGCTGTCAGACCTCCCCAGATGGAAGATGAGAGGTGAGGTTGAGATGGTTTGTGGCAGGGAGAAAAGGGTCAGAACCCCAAGCCTGTGAGAGCCGGCAGCAATGAAGAGCGAGGAACAGAAGAAAAGGTTATAAAAACGTTTAGTCTTTGCTTTATTGAGTTACAACAAATGAGCAACAAGTTAGAAAAATTGGTTTTTATTCAAACTCCCTAGCATTTTATTTGTGCAGTGTACTCAAACAGAAGTGGGGGTCAAAAGTGGGGAAAGGGGATTGCAGACATAAATCATATTGCAACATTTACACTGGACGTGTCTCTTGGTTTTCTTCCTTTAAAAGTTAGGACTAACTAAAAAAAAAGTGCACTCAGGTATCTAAAATTGGCCCACCACACACACACACACACACACACACACACACACACACACACACACTCAATCAATTCATGGTGAGGCTTCAAGCTAATGCTTCTCAAATTCCACACCAAGAAAAGGCAGTTAAGAACAGAAATGAAAACCCAAAGTGGTTTGTCTTTGTACCACCTAGAAAGGGAGATCTTGTGTTTGTTTAACTTCATAAGCATAACGATGGCGCTAATAAATGTGGAGCCCTTCCTGCTGGTATTTAAAAAGGTGCTTAAAGAGAATAGCTACCTGCTACCCAGTCCTTCCAGCGCTGCTGGCCACACCGGCCTGAGACACGTAGTGGAGAAGCCTGACCCCTCTCTTGGCAGTATGGAAAGCCTGTGTGTGGGTCACACAGGGGTCCCCAAGCAGCCCAGAAGAACTGGAAGTGAGTTTGATGTGGAGGTCTGCCACCTGTAGACCCACTCAGAGTGGAAAAAGAGCCTAACCCAGCCCTTTCCACCAAGAAACCTTCCAAATTTCAGGCTACATTTAGAAATAAATTCTCCCTACTTAAAATCCAGTAGCTATAATGGCACTAATACTAGCACACCCTTCCCCAAATTAATAAGAGAAAAATAAAAACAGGAAAAGCAATGTGGTTAGCCCTCGCTCCTGGAAAAAACCTTGCAGTGGTAGTGCTGGAAAAGGAAGTTGCCCTTGATTAAAAAGGTAACAAAATTCCCATAGAGTACAAATCAGTTCCAGTATAGCAAGAGGCAGGCCTGGGTCAGAGGAGCCACCTATGTACAAGGAAGGACCCATTGAAAACACAGCAGTAGGACTTTGGCACTGTGAACGATTCCCGTCCGTGCTCCGGGAGTGCGTGGGAAGCTCTCCAGGCACTAGTGAGCTCGGCAGTTCCACTCGGAGTCACTGGTGAGGGTGGCCCCCGGCGAAGAGGGAAGTTCTCTTTCCTCAAAGACAGTGTCCCTACCATGGTGCAGTTCTGAAGGACTCGCCTAGGAGGGGGACAGAGAAGGAGAGAGAGAATGTCAAGGAGAGGACCTTTCCTGCCTGGGGTGGAAAGCACAGGGCTAGCTTCACCGGCCCTTCTGGTGCTGGGACTCCTTCTAAGACCACCCCAGGGCTGAGAGGAGGAGTGGCACCCTCCAGTCAGGAGCCTGTTGGCAGAAATTTCCTGAACACAGTGGGCACCGCGGGCAGGCGGCAGAGTGGGGCCTCTGGTGTACATGGTCCTGGGAAAGTGAAGGCAGTGCTTCAGCATAAGCCCCTCCCATGACTCTGGGGATCCTAGCCTGCCTTTTCCCTAGGTAGCTGTGGGGCTGTACTCCCACCACTTGAGCTCTGCAGGGACTGGTTTACGTTTCCATAACACAGAGATGATGCTGGCGCCCCCTTTGTTGAGTTGTGGCAATCAAGTATTTACAGGAGGGTGTGGTGTAGGGCCTGGCAATGACCTGGAGTAGACTATAAGCTTTCACTGGTTTTATTGCATTGTTTTTCCCAGTGATAGGATCCACTAGGATAATGATGAGACACTTAGAATGTATTTTTATTTAATGTTCATATCAGCACTACGAAGTGTAGATATTGTTATTCCTGTTTTACAGGTGAGGAAACTGAATACAGAGAGGATAAATAAATTAGCCAAGATCACACAGCTAGCAAGAGGTGGAGCCAGGACTCAAACTCAGGGGTCTGTGCCCTTAACAAACAGTATGCATTATGTCAGAATGGAGAGGTACTTAATTCTTATACTCGGAAGTAATGAAAAAGTGTAAAGATTTGAAATGGGTGGAATGGTGTCCCTCCAAGTGCACGCATTGAAGTCTTAGTCCTCAGTGAGTACTCAGAGCTGGAAATAACTGCACCAAGGTCATGAGGGCACACCCACTCCACTACCACCCTTGTCCTCACGAAAGGAGACACACAGGAGAGGAAGATGTGAGGCCCCAAACAGGGGGCTCTGTGTGACACCAGGCCCACCCAGACACGCATTGGCACCAGAGTGAACAGGTTCCTCCTCAGCCCTGAGAGGAGCCAACCTGGCCCATCTCCAGAACCATGGGTTAAGCCACCCACACTGGGGTACCTCACAGAAGCTCTAGGAAAGCAGACAGCTCTCAGGTCCTGAGAAGGGAATCCAAAGAGAGGCTCAGGGCTGAAGGAAGCAGCCAGTGTTCCCTTACAGGCGAGAGGCTTACCTGTTCTGTGGACCCCTGAAGCCACTGGCTTTTCCTTTGCACCCCCTCCTGGGAAGGCCACTGGTATGGATGACATCTAGGTGTCCCCTGAAGCCTCATGTAGTCAAGGCAGGGCCTTTGGAAGGTGACTGGATTATAGCGGCATTAGCTAGCTGACTGTGTTAGGACTTGAGGCCTAGTTGGAAGAGGTGGCTCACTGTGGGCAATTACAGGGATGAAGAAAGGGACTGGGACAGCCACATTACTGCTCAGCCACTCTGGCTGAGAAGGACCTGAGTAGGGACCAAGAGCAAGAAGAGGAAACTTCTTAGCCAAAGGTACTGGCAGACCCTTCATAATGCTCTTCACTTCTCAAGTCTGGGTGTTAAACACACCCACATTCCCTGGGAGTAAGACCGGGTTACTGGAGTTAAGAAACTGACTGTAGAAGTCTTGTGGATACAGCCAGACTGCAGGGGGCCCTGGGGTCTGGTTCCACATGTGACTGATCCAGCGGGTCACCATGGGAGAGCTGGCGGGGTCCTCACTGGTGACATCACTAACATTACTCACTGCATGAGTGAGACAGACCCTCATGGGCCTCGGGACTGCCCAGGAGCAGTCAGAGCAGAGATGACCATGATCATGACAGATGCTGATATTTCTGCTGCACTTATGAGCCAGGCACAGTGCCAACGGATAACAGGCATCATCTTATCACTCCTTACAGAAACCCGGTAGACCCCCTAGCGGCAAAGAAACTGAGATCCAACCCTGTGCTTAGCATCAGACAACTTCTAAGTGGTGGAGTCGATTCTACACAAGAGCCCCTCTGCCCACTGGGTGATTGTACAGACCCCCAAGCCAATGAGGGGCACATATGTGTCTGAGGCAGGAGCTGTGTCACCCAGTTAGGACCCCTTACTGTTGATCCAGGCAGAGCCAAATGTACCCACTGGGCAGGATATAGTGGACCACAGCAGCCTCCCCTGTCTGGCTGAGCAAGGTTTCCCTGCGGACAGGGTCCTTCACTGTGTTTGGAAGGGAGCTGCCCCGGCTGCATATCAACTGTACAGTTCCTCAGACCTGGGGAGCAAGGTGCCAAGTGGGTGAACAGACAGCTCCTGTTCTTTGTTCTGCTGGCCTGGCCAGGCCAGCCCAGGACAGCGGTGCAGAGGAAAGAGCTGCGGAGGAGCTGAGAAGACTGGGATCCATCATTGCCTCCTCCTGTGGGTCCCAAGGTTGGTTCCCTAGCCTCCTGAGCCTCACTTCTGATAAGCAGAGCTGGTGGGACCACGGGGATTACACACAAAGCAGGCAAAGCCGAGGTCCTGGTATGGCAGGAGCTCAAGAAATACTGCTTAGCTTTTCCTAAGGATTCAGTGGAAACTCAGAGCCTTAGGTATAAGTGAGCTTACTCCTGCATGTATGTATGTGTGTGTGTGCGTGTGTGTGTGTGTGTGTTTGTGTGCACACGTGTACATGTCCTCCTGTGCATTTTCTGTCCTTATAAATGACACTGGACCCAGCCTGTTTAAGTGAGTGACAAAATCTCTTGCTTTTCAGGTAAACCTCAATTTGAAGGCGGTTCTCCATTTAGCAAAGAGTCTTCATGATTCTTTGGGTAATTTCTTACGGACAAACATGCATAATCCTCCAACCAAATGTGACAGTTTAGAAAAATGCTGAAATGATTGCAAGGCTAGAAGGGGGGCCCAGAAGGGAGACAAAGTCGATTTTTTTTTGCTTGCTTTTTCAGAGACTGCAGGTGTGGGTGGGTGGGTGGCTCCAGGCCCAGGAAGCACCCTCGGAACCACTTGGACTGGAATTCTCTCCTCTGACTTTTCCCAGGGTGTGTGCAGCGGTCAGGATTTGGGCTGTGGGAGCTGGCAGACTCTCAGAGTGAGGCTGGAAAGATGCCTGAGCGCTCTCAGGAGTGTCTGGCAGTGTACCCTACAGGCGAGTCTGATTTCCTGTCCACTGAAAGGGTCCTGCAGGTCACTCTGTGGGCAGTGCCTGGGTGCAGACACGGGCAGATGTCTCTCATGGCCTCATTTGTGTGCACTTAGAAAGCAGCAGCACAGACAAAATCATCTTTGGCTCGCAAATTCTCTTCTTCACCAGCAATGGCTGCTCCTCTCTGAATGTGTTTCCACCTCAGGTTTCCAGGCAGAGGCCCTTGCATATCAAGCCATCCTCTCACACTGCAGAGTGATGTATGTTTGTGTCCTTTTGCTTTACCCCTCCACTGCCTTCACCAGGTGCCTGGGAACAAGGCCCACTCCTGCCCAGGCCCCCAGGACACAGCTTGGGTTTGCTGGGGGACACTCTCCCTTGTGTCTACTCCACCGTCATGATTCTCTTGCACACGCATCAGGTTCCTTCTAGTCCCTGAACATCATCACATGGGCACCTGTCCCCCAGATCTCACAAACACCTGCATGCCACTCCCTCTGGAAGACTTTTGTTCCAGATGCCATCAGATGAAATGTTCTCATGCTGGGGCTTCTCAGGCATGACTGTCACAGGCCACCTTCAGACAGCCCAGGGAGTTGTATGTGGATGTGAAGCTGGGAGGATGAGGACTGTGCCTGTCATGTCCACTACCAGCCCTGCCACCTCTCCCTCCAATGTCAAGCCCATGCAGGACACTCAACATGCTTGTGCTGAATGAAAACTGGGAACGAGCACGGTGCTGTCGCAGTGGTGGCTGTTGCTTAGTTTTGTCCAGACTATCCCTGTAATTTGACTGTCTGGGCCTCTCTAGGAGTCCTATCACTTGATCAGACACTCGACCGGCAGAGCACCATGCCCTAATGGGTCACTTCATCCAGAGCACCAGATCTCAGCTTTGAAGGAAACTGCGAGGCCATCGGCTCCTGCCAGGACATCTCTACCTCTAGGGTGCCCATCCTCTCTGAGAACATGACCCACGATGGGAATCCCCACTTCCCACAACTACATGGGAACAACTTGCTGTGTTCAAAGCACTGCTTAAATCTTTAGCAAAATTGCTCCCCTAGTATTTTATACGTTAGGGAAACATGAAAAAAAATTAAACTGTTTTTCCATGTGACAGCTTTTTGTTTGCTTCTCATTTTCCCTGTAGGGTTTTCCCTAAGGCCCGGGGGACTTGGGAGGGAATAACACTGCACTCCACCAACAGAAAAGCAAACATGAGGTGGTGATTATCTTTCCATAGCATTTCTTCTTTATTTTTACCACCACACTTCTCTGTTATAGCAGTAACTGACTACCAGTGACACTGGAGGTACAATCTGAAGTCTGTGGCTCTCTGTAGCTGCTGCCATGTGATTTGCCGTTTATGCTGTCTTCCTCCCCATAATATTGCAAGGAGGATGGGCGGTTGTGTGAAGAAGGGATGACTGGTAAGCTTGCCTGCCCATGTCTCTCTTGAGGTGCTTTTTCCACGTGTCAGGCACCCGCTCCCCTCGGCATCCTCCTTTCAGCCTTGCTTCCTCCCAGGGACGCCCTGCTCCACAGTGGCACCCCCAGGAGGCCCACGCTCTGGTGCTCTATGCGGGAGCCGCAGCCCAGTCTCGGGCAGTCCTTGTCAGTTAGTGAAATGGAGGGTGCTTTTTGGGAGGACAGGGGAGGGGCCGACACTCAGGGTGCCTCTGTGGGAGGGTTAAGTCCTATAGACTCCACAGTGACAGGCACCGTTAGCCACACGGCATGCAGGGCAGAAGCAAAAAAAGGGTGCCGGGCCCACCTACCCAGGTTCTGAAACCAACAGGCACATCGGATTCATAGTAGGCCACACTGGAATGAGTGGTCCAGGCTGTGCTGGAGAC